ATCTTAGTGCCAATTGTATTAAAATGAATTTTTCTGTATGAAACTGTGTATTTTAATAATGAAATGGAGATCTATTTTAAAGTTTAAAACCTTATTTAATTTTATGTCTTATAGGGTTTATACAGAGTACAATATTGTATTAATTCAACTGTAAACCTAAAAATTTACAGCCAATATTGAAAGAGAAGCATCTTATCTCTGGAAATTGTTATTGAATATGTCAATGCTGTTGTAATGAAATTCCTCTTCTAATTATAATGGTTATTAAATAAATAATTAAAAAAGAGGAAGATAGATTAGTAGCTTCTGAAAAGTGTATACTTTGACAGAGGGAAGGAAATATCACCAAATTCAGTTGAAGCATTAACATTTTAATTTTCTAAATAATCTTTTTAATATAGTTACTGAAATGACTTTTCATGATAGTTGGGAGAAGGGTGAAAGGTGTGTATTTCTGGCATTTCTCCCTGACCTTCAACAAGGGCTGCCTGCCTCCTTCCCCTGAAAAGAAAGCACCATTTGGCACAGGGTAGGTGGAAACCATAGCAGTTACATAGCCTTATTCTAGCCATAGTCAAGAAGTTCACCAGTAGTGAAAATGGTCAATTGATCTCTATTCAAATGATACATTTCTTAGCTGAATTACAATTTAAGAATGGGTGATACTGAATATTCTCAAGCCCAAACCCTTGTTTTAATGTGAGTGTAGAAAGAGGAAGAAAATGTGAGGTATCCTAACAAACATCTCTTTTGCTAACATGATCCAGGAAACATCCTGCAGCTTTGCATGTACCTGCCTCCCACTCACTGAGCTCATCCATAGGTGGTCAAAGCTTTCTGTGGGTCACCGTCAGAACTGCCTCACTTGCTCTGGGCTTTCTGGCAGCTCTGCTTTCTGTCCTCCTTTGTCCTGTTCCCTATGTCCTCTACTCCCATCCCCTTCAGTATCACCTTGGCTAATGTTTCCTGTACAAGACAGTGCATGGCATGCCTCATGTTCCATTTGCTAAAATCTATGCCAATGCCCATAATTTGGGGGCATGAAATTTCCCCTATGAATCTTCTCTACCCCTGCCATCAAATGGGACACCTAATTAGATCCTCTAATGGACAGCTACTTGGGAAAGGAGTTCCAGACCAATAGGAGAGAAGAAAACACTGTGATTGTCAGAACTGAAGATCAGTTCTGCAAAATAAAAGATTTGAGACTGGAAAACATATAAAACAATTCTTTTTTAAATGTATTTTTTGTTTTTTCTTTTGGTGCTGGGATTCAGTCCAGGACTTCAAATGTGCTGAGCACTATGGTCTATCACTAAGCTACAAGTTTAGCCCAAGAAA